AATAATAATAATAATAATAATAATAATAACGATCACGGAAACGCAACCAAATCACTTTTCAAAATAAAAAGAACACAAGTGGGAAAGTGAGCGATATGGCTCTATTATATATATCAAAAATACCGTAAACGCCTTAAAAAGATGAGAAATAACACTGCCAAGGTAAAGAATGGGTGTGAAGCAAGAAATATAAAGAAGCCCAGTACTATTGTACCTATCACTATTCCCCATGCAGCAACAATCATCATGGCAACAATTGGATGTCTCCCGTGTGTTCGTACTCCAAAGAACGCTTGACCAAAGTCATCAGTGAAGTTCCGGGGATTTACCTTAAATGAAGAGTTACCATAGTGAAAACGTCCATCTCGATTGGTTGAGGCATTACCACTGTAAAATTCTTCTGTCTTTTGATTTGTGCTAGCGTTAGGTTGTTCACTAGTTACTTTACGTACCGTAAACGTTTTACCCTGTGGATCTGTATATGTATGTTCCTCCATGCGATTACCATGACCATCTGTAAAGACACGTGTTGATTCGTTACGGAAAAAAGGGCGAAAAGCCTGTTCGGATCCACTGAACTCTTGCGATACACGACTATGTCTACCACTCATACTGTTGCGCCGCATCTCTTCTTCAAGATTGCGGAATATCTGTTCCACACGCATCCCACCAAATATCTCACGAAAGAGTCGATCAGCCTCCTCTTTAGACATGTGTTGATAACCCATTGGACCTTGGCGGTTAAATCCCGTCGAAGAAGAACTAGCATAACCACTGCTATTTCCACCTCCTGTAAAAGAAGATGCACTACGTCTCATATCATACTCTCTTCGACGCTCTTTATTTCCAATCACATGATAAGCTTCAGAAATATTCTTAAACATTTCTTCCGCACCAGGATCGCTATTACGGTCAGGATGATATTGTAAAGCAAGTTTCTTGTATGCCGCCTTTATTTCATCTGCAGAAGCGTCTGGTTTAACACCAAGTCGGGCGTAGTAATCCGTCGCTCCTGCTGTTGATTGCCATCGTCGTGCAGGTGTCATTGTGCAAGTAAAAAAGTTAGAGCCTGTAGGAATTGCAGATGAACCTAATGTCAGCGATGTACATAACGCACGTCTTTTAGAGTGTACGAACCGTAAATAGTGTTGAGAGAGTACTGTAGCGCCTGTAAACGCACGGTACTCACCACCAATGATACTCATACCCCTCCAAGGGGTAATGATTCTCCGCATTCGTAAATACCACTATTATCACCTAAATGAGTCTTTAAAAGTATAGTAAAAAATAAAAATAAATAAATAAATAAATAAAAACCATAAATAAAGAAAGATAACATGAAGTGTAACTAAATTTAAACCAAGAGAGAAAAAAAAAATATATTTTTTTTTTTCGCCACGAACTTTTTATTCTCTCGCAGCCAAGAAATATATATATATATATATATATATATATTTATTTATTTTTCTATTTCGTTTTAAATATATAATAATAGCAATACGAAAAGAAAAAAAAAACGAGTCTAAAGATAACTCTGATGTCAAGTAACTCTTACTTTTTTCTATGCAACGAAATGAGGAGGGGTAAAATGGAGAGGAAGGAACGGAAGAACGGGAAAGGAGAAGAAAAAAAAACAATAAAAGGAAGGAGAACTATAAATTTAACTCCACCTCCTTAAACCGCTCCATACACAAGGCACGAACCTCATCTGCACGTTTCTGCTGCCGTTTAAGTAAATCCTCCTTCCGAGCAGCGGTACGAATAGAGACTTCATGTACCATACCTCCTAATATCTTTTGTTCCTTATCTATAGAATCAATAGAGCTCATGGCTTTCTGTTGCCACATTTCAACTCCCGCTGCTAATTCATCTGTCATATGCAACAAATTCTCAATTTGCTTCTCCAACTCTGGTTGCTCATTCGCCAATAAAGATTGAACAGATTTCAATGTAGCAGCTAGATCAGCATGTACACGTCGCTTCAGTTCATTGTTTAGTTCCGCTACCTTTTCTTTTCTTTTCTGACGGTTCTCCTCCCAAAGGGCATCAAATTGGGCCTCAAGTGACTCCATATGTTTCTAATATATGGCTTACGAAATAAAAATAAGAAAAAAAAATAGATTTATATATATATATATACATAGAGATATAAATAAACATATGGGTGTTTTCAAAAAAACAAACCATCAACGATGCAGCAGGTTGCTTCGTGTATCTTTTCTTATCGTAAATAGGAAATATACCAACACTTTCATCACAGAGCAAAGACAGATTCGATCTTTTATCACATAATAGAAACAACAACAAAAAAAGAAGACAGATATCTCAGAAAAAGCTTCTAAAAGAAGGGGGTGGAGGGGAAAGAACGAAAAAAAAAAAAAGACGTCATAACCAGGAATAATAAAAATTGACAACGCATCTGCTTTTACATCCCTGTGATCCTGTCAGTGTGTGTGTGTGTGTGTGTGTATGAGTGAGTGAGTGAGTGAGTGTGTATGTGTCTGTTAGAAACAACATGGCAAAACATAGTTAACTTCACCCATCACTACCACCAACAACAACAACAACAATAATAACAATAATAATAATAATAATAATAATAATAATAACAGCAGCAATCCACCCTCTTCCGTATCCCCTTTTTTCGGTTATTGTCTTCTCTACACCCGCTTATATGTGCGAGAAGCAGATAGAGAAATAAACGATCCAAATATATAAGAAAAAAAAAGAGCAAATTGGTGCATAACCACGCTTAAACTCCATATCTTCTCTTTTTCCTCAATCGGTGCCAACTTTACTTCCTGGCCTATATCGAAAAAAGAGAAGAAACCCACATTCAAAACAAAAACAAAAGAGAGAAAAAAAAGAACAAAAAAAAAACAATGGGAATCCGAAAAAAAAAGGAATAAAAAAACAGACCCTGTCCATCAGTCTGCCAGTCAATCAGTCAGTCAATCTGTCAGCCTCTCTGTGTGTCTCTGTCTGTGTGTGAAAAAGAAAGAAAGAAAGAAAGAAAGAAAGAAAGAGAGAGAATAAGAGAGGAACATCAAGCTACTCTCTCTCTCTTTTATTCTCTCTCTCTCTCTTTTATTCTCTGGTGTTTGGCACTACAGAATCCCACAGCGGGCCGGAATTAGTCGTCTCTGCAGCCCCACCGCTCATCACATGCGAGACAAACAGCCGCTCCCGCTCGTGCGCATCTGTGAGTTCCCACCGCACGGCCGGTGCTTGACTTTCACTCACCAACGACGGCGCCGCCCGACCGCCGACCCGCTCGTGCAGATCCAACACGAATTGCGAGAGAGCGTTGGAAGTGCTGGCGGCCCCCGAGTCCTCTATTGTTGGCGCGGCGGCCAGCATACACCGTTTGGCCCAACCAGCGTAGACAGAGCAGAAACTTGCAATAGATTTAGCACACTTATCGTTAAAGTGTTTCCCGGGGGAAAGTTCTTCTTCACTTTGGTCTTGGTAGTCAAAGACGGAATCTCTCGCTACGGAACCAAGACCATCCACACGAACAGAACAATGGTTAATACAATCTACAAATGCAGGTATGCTTCCATCATATAATATACCAATAAGTATAAAAGGCATTAATAATGTTCGAATAATATCACCAAGAATAAGTGAAAAACGGCTTCTCAAGAAATCCCAAGTTATTGCATGGTAAAATGAATCTCCAGAAAATAACCAATTTTCCTGACTATAATGTAACTCATCAATAAGCTTATTAAGGTCAGAAACGTAATTATACTCACGATGTACAGGAGGATCACCTGAACAAATAGAAAATGCTATGAGTGCTATGGAAAGCCACCAAATAAGACTAATACCAGCTACAGAACCAGAAACAAGCAATGAAGTATTAAGAAGTGATAAAAACACGGTAACAAAAACAATTGCTGAAGATGTTCGACGAATGAAACGAGTACCAGGAGAATACGGTTGTAATCGTTCTACCATATGTATAGCGGTTTGTCTTCCTGCTGAAATTCTTGCAGAAAGAATATGTGGTACTTCATTATATAATCGAAAAGTACAACGGGCACGATTGTTCCAGTCTCTAGAAATATAATTTCCCCAATCTGATCGCATCATAGCTGCATTTTTAACAAGAACTCGAAGGAGAAATAAAGTTACTACAAATGGATATAATAAAGTATAAAAGACAAAATATTTCAATACTTGTCTTTGAACTAGAGAAATTTGATCTTTTCCTGAATCTAACGTATTAAATTCATCAAACATACCACAAAGAAGTATTTTAAGAAGACGTTCATCCGCATATTTTAATGTTTTATGATCAAGTATTCCGTGTTGATAAAGAGTAATAAAATAATTATCATATACCATAAGAGCTTGAACAGCTCGAAGACTGTCAAATTCACGATGAGCCACAACCCCAAAATTTCGATCTCGTTGTATTTCTGCACATACCGTATCCAAAAAATTTCCCCAACTCATATTACCAATAAAGGGTAAATCTCCTGTAAGGTGAACTTCCTCATGTCCTTCAGAGCGTGCCCGCATAACTCGCCATAAATGAACTAGTCGATGTAAAGGTGTGAGATACCCACCATCAACAATAGGTTTTAACATACTCTCTAACTCTTTTTGTAGAAAACACGTCTCCAGAAATTTTAGAAACTCATAACAAAGAGCCACAAAGGTAGCTAAAAGTAGTATAGACGCAATGAGTAGATGTCCTACACCAAAAAGAGCAGGTGAGTGTAATCCATGTACAAGAGTAGAATTTCCACAACTTACTTCATCACAGGTTAATGCTACAGGCCAATCAAGCATCATTGTGAGAAATAAAACCACAAAAAAGATCACCACACTATTAAGAAAATCCACACAAGAGGCTAAACAAGTACTCCATAATCCCTTATAGTACCAAAAGCGATATAGGCAAGTCATAAAAAGATGAACATCTTCAAGACGTCCACTACCCTGATAACGTAGTGAGAAAGAAGGTAGTCGAGCAAAAACCATCTCCCTAAACTTAATGTGCTATACTTGGCGCCCAACCAGAAAAATATAAAAAAAAACACTTCTTTCAGATACACACTACTAAACACAATCATTCATTTATTTTTTTTTTTATTACAAAAGAAAAAGATTTTTTTTAAAGAAGAAAAACAAGAGTATTAGCAAAAAAAGAAGAAAGAACGAATTTACCTCAATGTATTTTGCAGTAAAGAAAAGAGAAAAATAAAAATAAAAAAGAAGAAAGAAATTCTTAGCAATTTCCAAACATCTTTAAAGGTATTTCGGTTTGTATATTTTTTTTTTTTTAAAGTAAAAACTCCCCATCGCATTTCTTAGAGTTTTTTTTTTTTTTGTCTGCAGTCTGTTATCACTTTTTTAGATGAATAAAATGCATCATTCTTGATTCTTCCTAATTATATAAGTACTACCCTCTCTCTCTCTCTCTATTGCTTACAAAAATCTCGCCTGAATTTGTCAAGTGCATCTTGTAAAGAAGTATGAGTTCGGATACTCGGGGCATTCGCAGGAGTCTGTAAAGGCATTTCCTCTGGTAAACATTCCGGTTCCAACAAGGAGACATCTGCCTTTATAAGTTCCATAATATGTCGGTAATCGGCATGATTACTACAATGACTCTCCCTAAAGCGAAGGGCATTACGGCGAAGACAGTCCTTCACAGCCACCGAACGAGCATTCACATCTTCTATCATATGAAGAGGAATAAGAGCCCAAAACCATGCATCCGTTAGACACTCTAGTGCAGCTGAAAATCCAATAAGTACTTTCGTCTCGGCATCTTTATAGTTGTCTGTTCGCTCTAATTTTAGTGCGCGAATAGCAACAAGAATGATAAATGGTGTTAAATAGTCGGATGGACAGTAACTGGAAGCATGTGGATGTAAGGCACTTGCTGCTGGTGCCACACCCATTGTAAATCCCTCCAATAGACTTAACGCCGCATCCTGAAATTCATCTCCACGATGAATAAAATCTTGTCCACGAGCTGTTTTCAACAGACTGGGGGCGATGTGATCAGCATAAGGCGGGAATGCATTTTCCTCACGTGATGCCGGTGCATGCAGTCGTTCAAGAAATGCCGCAATGATATCTTCCGCTGGTGTATCTGGTGTACAACCGTAGAAGGCAAATACACCCAATAACTGTTTCCACGTTGCAGCGAGGGGAACAATAGAAACAACTTCATTCGAGTTATTACCTTTATCTTGTTGCGCTACACGTTTAAATCGTGGTTGGGTAATAAAAGGTTCTACTACACCAGATAAAAGACTTACTACACGCTCACGTACACTCATATCTTCATCTAAAGATTTTGTGTTTGCTGTTGTAACAAAACTGCCAAATTGATTTCCATCACCACATATTCCCAAAACTCTTGATAATTCTGTATTTCCTGTCGTTTTTGCAATGGAAACTGCATCCTTTAATTTATGACAAAGAAGCTTACAGAGTAATTTTTGTGTACTGTTCATTCCAAGATCCTCCTCTGTCCAAGAATCCATAAATGCCAATTCTCCCTTTAGCCATATATTAAGATTTCTTCTTCGTAGTTGCGTTAGGTAACGATTCTCAGCAACTGCATTATTTTCTGCTTTATCCGTTTCAGGTAATCCATAAAGAGCGTCAAGAAGATTTAAAACAGTCTTTGCTTGACGAGCAGTAGATTTTTCCATCACAGAAATCCTTTCACATCGTACTGCATCAATAGCTGCAATAAGTTCACGTAGTTTTTCACTTGAAAGTGAAACATTACTGCTTTGTCGACATAAATTTAGAAAAATGAGTGAAAAATGATTATCTTTATCAGCAGTTCCCTCAACAAGATGAATATAACGACAAAATGTACGAAGAACTGATATAGCACAGCTTTGTAAGTAATTCTTACTTGATGCATGAGCAAAGAAAGGATTCATTATTGATACTCGTGCTCCACTAACTTCATCAGGATTTTTCTTGTTTTCTGTTCCATCACGAAGCCATGCAAATAAAGGAACAGCAAGATTTCCTCCTAATTGCCATCCACAACGAAAACTTCTACCCAAACTTCCCATAGCACTCTGTGAAACAACACTAGCATTCATTTCATATATCTTAGAATCTGTTTTCTTCACAACATACACAGGGGTAAATACTTCAGTAAGTTGACCTTTAATAAGCATCGCTCCTTTACGCTCACGAGGTGCCTCTTGGTGAATATCAGGAAGATTGTATGGTAATTTAATATCTTCAACTGTGGCTCCTTCATTAGATAAACCTTCAAGAACCATTTGATCCCGTACCGTTACTTCCTGTGATCGTACAGGGAGTACAGATGACTTATCTGTACGAGAAATATTTCGAGTAAGGGATGCAGGTGGTACAACTCCTGTACGTGTCGGAGTCAACTGTCGAGAACATTTACTCATATCTAGAGCAGCTGGAGTATGAACAACATCATCCAAAGATTCACCATAGGTTGATATTCTTTCAATTTCTGGTGGAAACCTGTCATCTTCTTCTTCCATATCTTTTATATCAACATCAATATTATCATAATCATCATCATTATCTTCATCTGCTTCTTCTTCACTTATATTGGTTGTATATACCCAGGTTCCTTTTTTCGCATCATAAGAGTCAAACAGATTTCCATTCCTACGACAAAGTTCACGAAGTTCATCTGATGTCGTATCAACAACACCATTTACCGTTACACGAGCTCGAACACGCAAACCATGACCAAGTGGTGGTGGAACGTTAACACCTGGATAAAATACCACCTCACCATTTGGACGAAGAGACACAACATCTGAAATATCACATCGAACAAGGTTAACCGGTTCAAGAAAATGTACAGAACATTTACCATCACGACGGTAAATACTGAATTCACGTAAATTCTGTAATTTTTTGATAGAAAACTCCTGTAATACCTCTAATGGAGGATCAAGGATATAATCACTGCTCGTACAGGTAGGGGCATAAGAAGTAGAATCTGGAGCAGAATAATTTGATGTAGTTAATAAAGCTCTAACAGCTGTTGGAGAAGTAGTAGGTTTTACCTCATCTGGTATACCCAATGTTACCTTGGGAGAACTGATAAGATCTCGGAGTGCCACAGGTGAAAGAGCGTTAGTAGAGAATGAGGCAGATTGTTGTTTTAAAGTAGCATTTGCATTAGGTGCTGGTGTCCCTATTTTCATTCTCTGTTGATAATGTGACATTGAAGTTGGAATAATTGCAACTGTTGGAACAGTAGGTAAGGATGCAGCAGTTGTCACAGGTTTCTTTGGTTCCTCATCCGGTGCAAAAAGTAACACATTACCATATGGTTTATCTGCAAAGTCTGGTAAGTTAAGAAATGGCATAGCATTGGCTGAAGTATTAGCTCCAACCCCTGCAGTTGTTGACCCGCCCACTTGACCAAAGCCACCACCTGTAGTGCCAAAACCACCCGTAGATCCTCCAAACGATGTTCCCCGTCCTGCTTGTCCAAATCCACCAGTAGCAGGCTGACCAAATCCACCAGTAGCCGGTTGTCCAAATCCGCCAGTAGCAGGTTGACCAAATCCACCAGTTGCAGGTTGACCAAATCCACCAGTAGCAGGCTGACCAAATCCACCAGTTGCAGGTTGTCCAAATCCACCAGTTGCAGGTTGACCAAATCCACCTGTTGTACCACGACCAGCTGCTTGACCAAATCCACCAGTAGCAGGTTGCCCAAATCCACCGGCACCTACAGTAGAACCAGCTGCCTGTTGGCCAAACCCTGTAACACCCGCTTGTGGTTGCTGTTGCTGACCAAATCCACCTG